CTAGAGATGATCTGATATAATCGCCGCCTGTTTTGGTAAGTTTCTAGAATATTTTCATCCATTTATGTTCTTTTATTTAACAGTAATACAAAGTGCAAGTGAAAATGTTTCGTTTCCTGTTTTATTTTCCTTTCTTGTTAATGGAACTTTCTGAAAACGGAACGAAACATTTTTATCAGATTGACAGTAATATTGTAGGAAAGCGCTATTGACCTATTATGTTGCTTCAAGGAAAGCTTTTTGTCGAACATCTAATATACATCTGGACTAATTTTAGCTAGATTTGTTCTTGATCTACAAGCATCTTTATGAAAGAGTTATAGTATAAAAGGAAGATAATGTAGACTATATTACAATTATTATAATAATATGAGCAACCATAGTGTTGGACACTTTATCACAACCCACTATCGACCTAGCTTACTTTACAATATAAACTGACTTTAGATTGAAACATGTTAGATCAGACGAAAGTTCGAAAATCGAAGTGGACTGAATCTCTTCTTCTTATTGTGACCAGTCCGTGAGAATGCGTTCAGGCATCTTTAACCCTAATGGGTCGATTCTATTTTGTTGAAATAAATTAATTCGTTGCTAGAAAATTGATATCAAAAGATAATTTTTTTTGAATCAGAAAATCTTCCCGCTATTATTCAGTGTCATTCTTTCTTCTTACAGCTGTGTGCCTAGTGACAGGGGTCAAAGGTCAAGTAGTCGGAGCATCATGTTCATCAGGCTTTACAAACCAGTTCCCTGATCCATCAGACTGCTCCAAATATTTTAAATGTCACCGGGGTGTATATGCAGATTATAAGTGTCCAGTTGGTCTGGTATTCAGTACTGAAACTACAGGTTGTGATTGGCCAGACAAGGTTACAACCGGATGCACTGGTACGTCTTTTTATAATTCCGTGGGTTGAGTTGGGGAGTGACATCTTCCACAAACAAGGCTTTGGATGGTTTAAGAAGAAGTCTTGACTGGCTGGTTACGAGCTACGGGCCTGATAACAAGATACAAAATTTCATTTCATATCTCACATTTTACAAAACTATCCATTTTGTTCTTCCAGTACCAACTACATCACTAGATTCATCTGTGAACCCTCTACAGTTCCCTGCTGACAGTAAGTTATTACTTCTAATACATAACACAATTGGTTACGAGGACTACAAATAAAAGATATTAACTACGTTACTCTCTTAATGAAATGAAATGGCAATTTTGAATACGTTGACTATTATTATAGCTATGTGAACTCTCTGAAACAGATGACAGGTTCACACATCAAAATTAAGATATGGACTCCTTGGATGGATACAAAGGTATCGATCACAGTAGTAAAGCGGCATAAGGTCTCTGCTGAATACTCCCTGAAGTTAGAGGCGAATTCAAACGGGCCAAGCTTGATGTTTCCTAAACATTATATCAGCTTGAATCCTCACGATCACCTTGTGAAACAAATAGAAGCAATAATTGTCTACAATACAGTGCAAAAGACTCAAAAATTAAACCAAAGAGAAACAATAATTTTTTTTCCGATAAACATAATACATAAAGGGATTGTAAAGAGGTTTTCTAACATTTGTATGTGTATCGGCAACACTCACAGGATCAATTTGCACTATTCCGATTTTCAATCAGAGGCCACAATTGCACTAAAGCAAAGCCAAAAGGGTGGGGGGGGGGAGTCAGAGGGGGCAGCCGCCCCTCCTCGCAGCCCCGAAGGCATGTTTTTCGGGCTAAAATCTCATAACTAGGTTAGAAATTTGAGCAAACTCGGATATACCCCGATTTTATCTCATTTCAGTTTGTCCAATTCAACCGTGTTCCAAAACCCTAAACTACCTTCTCCCTAACTACAACAAACCCGGTAATAGTGATTTCTACTTCTGTAAAGATGGTAAGATTTATGAACAGACCTGTGGAACGTCGTCTGGTACCATCGGTTATCCGTACTTCAACGTTCTGAGAAATTCCTGCGAGAAGGAACGCTCTAAAGACAGTTTGTATTAGAAGACACCACCACATTGTTGAATATACATGCATTGAAATAAACTGTTATAAAAACGTAAAATGTTGTAAATCATAAGTTTGTTTTTTTTTATTATCACAAAAAATTTGAGCTCGAAATTTTATTCTGATTCCTAAAAGTGCCGCGCATTATTACAAGATTGTTATATGAATGGCGTCACAATTTCATTCTATAAGATATTCATTCCAATAAAGTCAAAATTTAGCTAGGGTTTTGTCACAGAAAACAACAATTATGTGACAACAACGTCACAACAACAGACTGTAATATGGTTGATATAATAGAAAAATAAAAATACTGAAACTGCTACATTGTTCTTTCTATTTCGGAATTAGTCAAGATGAGTAGATCTAAAGTCGGGAATAGATTAGACGAGGTACGGTGTCAGGTACAGTGTACGGTGCGAGATAATCGATCTTGACGAACTATTCCCAGCCTTAAGGGAAAACTCTGTCTGTCCCTACCGATCGACCATCCTTGGCAAATATAAGGAACCTGGTAAAGACCAACTCCGTTTCGAAAAAAAAAACAATTGAGATGGTTGATGGTGTATTTCGACAATAAGAAATAAAACCTATATTTCTCTTGAGGATATTGCAATGATTGGTGTTTAGAATAAACTATACTTATTGTTGTTGACTGGAGAAATATTGGTTGAATATCACGAATAGACTCTCGTGTGAATCGACAGCCTATTGTTCTGTCCTCGTTTAGTCTTTCCCTGTTTCATACAAATATTGTTTTAATTGTTTTACCTTGTTTGAAAAACATCGTCACATGCGTGGCAGGTAGTAAATTTCAGCAGGCTTTGGAAGGGTATAATGTTATAGTTCCTTTATCCTTGCTGTACCCTTATTAGAAGGGCAACTGTGATCAAGCAAGCTACCATCTTATTGGATGAAAAATTACACCCCAAGCCAACTTGCATGCTGCTCGCATATTAGACATGCAGCTACTCTTCAAGCCAGCGCCAGTCCTTGGGTTCTGGATTTCCACTGAAACTAAGCCATTTACGTCGTATCAAATCATTAGTGGGGCCACAATTAGAGGACAGGGGACTCATTGTGGAGACAACTGTCGAGGCGTGATAGTCACGGGCCTCTCATGGAATTTCTGCGATGATCCCATAACAAAATATTCATATTTTTTACAACTGGGGGTGTTGCACCGTGTACCCTCACTGGCGTACAGTGTATCAAATACAAGTTGTCTTAAATGTCTTTATAAAAGTGATATGGAACTTATCATATCAGTTATAGCATCCAGTGTGCCAAAAGAATAAGCATTCCCATCCATCATCACCGGCAACAGCAAGCGATGTAGCAGGTTTACCCGTAGCTACATGGGGGCCGACGAGAGTTTGGATGCATTGATCTCCTGATCAAATACTGACAACCGACCATTTCCATTACTGTAACTAAACACCATACACCATTGCCCCTCTAGATATTTTACTTGCTCCCTCGAACAATCAGGCCTGATTACATGCCTGAGGTTTACTATGAGAATGTTGAGTGTTATTATAGAATCATTATGCCCTGTCCTATTAACAAAACAAATCATATTAGTTATTGTGGAATTATAATTCCCGGAGTTTAAATCATTGACGTATAATGTCGTAATTATGTCGTAAAACATCCTGTATTCTTCAGCGATACTTCACGAACCCAGAAATGAGTGTTCTAAATTGTATCATAGCATCAATCACACACTTTCATGTTCCTGCTTGGAAATCCGGAGTAATTCTGCTGATAATTTTCTTCTAATTTAGCTAAATATGAATTAATTTATGGACATATGAGACAAACTGGTATTTTTCCAAGTCATTAGAACACCTCTACTTTCTATTCATATAAGTAATGAATTAATGAAAATTAGTGAACCCATCTTTAACAATTTTGAGGAGCTGTCATGTATCTTAAAGATCAAAATCCAGTAGGCTGTAATTCCTGTAAATCGTACATTGAATGGCGTTCATGTCTTCATAAGCCAAAATCCAAAAAAGATAAGGATAATGCCATACAACCCTCAACCCAAGTACTAACGACCTGAACCACAAAACGAAACCCTAAATTCAAAACAACAATTTGGCAATACATGGTACAAATGAACAAATGAATCTTTCACACGAAGACATATCATGCTGGAAAAACATAAAACGTCCAGATCAGTTCTTAATCTTATTGCACAGACTCAACCACTTTAACTGCTTTATAAAAATATAAAAATTAAGATGTCACCTGTCAATTAAATGATTTGGAAATAGGGCGTGGCCAACACACCTTTATTTGCCTATAGTCATTCCATTGAATATAAAATATTTCATAGATTTGATTGACAGTTAAAGAATAATTTCACGAAGAGAAATATAGTTGTATATTTAAATAGATCAACCATTCGTCCCTGAATTGACCATAGTGAAACAACAAGTAACGATTAGAAAGACTTGAAGAACACCTTTAAAAAATATTTGATTGGGACACAACGTTGCCGAAATGAGAGTTTTAATCGCTGCAATTGGTGAGTAAAAGACAAATTAAATCTTACAATATTCGAACAGTTCGTCTTGCACTGGGCTGGCAATTCAAACATCACATCAGATCCATCGCAGTCGACATGCCTGATAACCAGCAACTGGATGGTCGACAGGATTTTTTGCTAGAAAATGAAAAACAATCATCAACGGACGGTATATGGAGGTGCAAGATATCTTCTATTTATTTGTTGCGGCGCTCAGGTTAACGTTATCCAGCGATTCAGCAGTTTCTCTCTTATGTTTCAAGTTACTCGTAAATCTAACTTCTCGTAGAAAGATTTAGTCAGTCGAAAGTTCAACTTAACCCCTCCCTGAAACCTATCCAATCGCACACCGAGTCAACCCAACCCTAAGATATATTTTTGAAATGCATTGGGAAGGAAGTGCATATTATAGTTACCTTTCTGATTCATGTCCATCTGTAATAACCCCGTATACCTATACTAATATATTTATTTCATGTCCATGGTTACGGCTAGAGATTTAACATTCGAAATTTTTCATCCTTACATAATCTGTATTTTCAGCAATTTGCTTGGTACAATACGTATCAGCAGCCTGCGAGCTGGGGTCGTACGCATCCCACGACACCGACTGTTCTAAATTTAAACAATGTAATCATGGAAGTTGGGTGATTAAGGACTGTCCACCACCATTACAGTGGGACCAATCCCTTATGACCTGTAACTGGCCAAATGCTGTAAACTGTGACTCTAACGATGGCCCTCTATCTGGTACGTGTATTTAATTATTTTATAACATCTACTGAACAAACTAAAGAAGGCAGAGAAAGACAGCATTATAGTTTTGAAAGGGGTACTCATAGGAATGAAAAGAATGAACGGGAGAGGAGGAGGGAGAGGGGTGGAGTGGGTGATATATGATAAGGTTCCCGAGATACCCCCATTATGAGGCTTTCGTGTAAAGGATTGATAACTTTTCAGTAATAATATGAATATCACTTACACTTAATCAAATAAACTGAAAGCAGAGAAGACAGAATTATTCTATTGTAAGCTGATAAGCCACTCAACGCGATTTTTTTTTACATATGCTCCCCTGCACTTTTGTTCATTAGTAGTAGTAGTTGAACCCCTGAATGAATAGTACACACCAGCTAATTTGTTCTGATTTTTTATAACTAGATGCATGTTCAACCTCGCCTTGTGTAAATGGTTTATGTTTCCTGTCCTCAACCTCTGCTTCCGGTTATAGCTGTATCTGTAATGCTGGCTTTAATGGAGATAGATGTGAGAATAGTGGTAAGTGGTAACTATAATAACCCCCTAGTACCTATCACTGCCTGTCCTTACTTCCCCTTAATGCTGGGTTGGAACACTTTGTGGCAGTGGAATAGCTCAGTTGGTAGGGTGTTGGATTGTCGTCTGCTAGGCGATTAGGTGCCGTATGTTCGAATACCTCTCAAGGTAAGAAAAATCGGATTCCTCTGCCAGTGCTTCCGAGAGTCAGTCCGGTGTTCGCCTTCAATCCTTAATACATAAAGGACTCTTAATATTGGGCAATAAGCAACATATGGCCACAGAAGGGACAAAAACAAGGAAACAATCCATTGCCCATGCGCAACATGAATGCAGCTCTCGGATTGGCTGCTACCAATGGTACGGAGAGGTTGAAAACAAAAACGGTGCAAATAGCCAGCGCAATTCTATTGACAAAAGGACGATGAGTGTCAATCTCAATTCGTAATACCAAAGATGCCTAATAAATGTAGGGAATATGCTTAGATTTTTTTTTTGCTTGGAGTTGATGTAAGATCGATAATTATATATATTATGTAGCATTATGTTGGCTTGAATACAGAACTGAAAAGAAATCATACTTTTTAAAAAACATATAAGAGTCAAATTCTCGTCTAGTTATATCCTCCACCAGGATCATATCTGATTATATTTCAGTGGTCAACAATATCTGTCAGCAATCCAACCCATGTTTAAATAATGGAGCTTGTACAGCAACCAATACAGGTTATATCTGCTCATGTCCAACCTCTTACACTGGTATCAATTGTGAAACATACCGTATGTTGTATTTTTTTCTTTTAATTTTCCCTGTTTGATCATTCCGATACTTGACGGTTGTTGCCAGTTGAAATGAATGTTTACATCTTCAACCTGACTCGTATTGTCCACTTGTCATTCTTTTCATAAAGTCTGTAGGCTTAATGCTTGTACTGAGGATGTCATTGAGCATCTTGTTGTATCCATAAATTTTGGTATTTAGATTATTTTCAATGTTCATCATTTATGGGAAGCTTACAGTTTGCACTATATAATAGTGTTCCTTTAATACAAATGTGTTGGCTAGAACATTTAACTATCATTCCCCTATAAAATTGTAGAGGTTATACCCTTTTTCATGCCTGACCATTCGATCACTTTCGAAACACTGACAACCTAGGAAAACTACAAACATGATATCTAGCTCTGTAGATATATTTTGTCATTCTTATATGATTCGTAATGGCGAAAGGATCCATGCGAACGTGTATTAGGCGGATAGACCCGATGGCGTTCGGGGCCTTTGACTTGTGGATCGTATTATTGCCGTGTATCGTGTATATATTGTCTTTTGATACCAAACCAATTTGTTATAAAATGAATTCCAGAGCCTACGTCTGTAAACTGTGCATCAGGAATCTCTGGAACTGAATGTCAAAATGGAGGAGTTTGTGTCTGGGACGGAAATTTTAGATGTTCCTGTTTAACACCATATACAGGTGCTCGTTGTGAGAAAAGTAAGTAAATACACATTGTATATTAGATAATCAATGATTATATCTTACAAGGATAACAACTGGTATTAGTTTTTCCAAAGGTCTACTGAAATTATGAGTGAAGATGACTTATTCAAGGTCATCATACTTTCACATGTTAACTGAGAATAGATAATACGTGAGATACAAGCTAAAAGGTTTTGCGTCATCCATGGGTTATTCAACTTGCAGAGGGCGCTTTCGGTTCGTATCAGATTTCATTGCCAATTGCCAGAAAAATCAATTCGTGTCGTAAATGCGGTATTTTGTTTAAATGTTTAAACTTACAACATATTTTGATCGTAAGATATTGTGACAAACGTTGCTCTATCGTATGTTAAGCAGATTATTACTATGATGACGATACTCAGTGGGCCTCAGCTATCGATGATATAACTAATATTCCTTCCGCTTTTACAGACGGAATAACAGGCGATGCGTGTAGTGTCAATCCCTGTAATAATGGCGTGTGCAGAATAAGTTCAACTTCCCGAGGCTATACCTGTGATTGTTCAGTTCCTTATATTGGTGACAACTGTGAAAATTACAGTAAGTAAATACTATTGTACTGTTTTGTTGTTATATGGTATAGTAAATCTTCTTTACGATAAATCTTTCCTCATGAAAGGATTTTTGATATTGATCCTTTTTTGGTACAGAGAAATATGAATGTAGATCTTATGTGTTTATCATGTAGATCTTATGTGTTTATCGTGTAGATCTTATGTTTTTATAATGAAGATATTGTGTGTTTATCATGTAGATATTTCATGTTTATATTGTAGACCTTATGTATTTCTCATGTAGATCATATGTATTTATCGTGTAGATCTTGTGTGTTTATCATGTAGATCTTATGTGTTTATCATGTAGATCTTATGTGTTTATCATGTAGATCTTATGTGTTTATCATGTAGATCTTTTGTATTTATCATGTAATCTTGTGTGTTTATCATGTAGATTTTATGTGTTTATCATGTTGATTGTATGTGTTTATCATGTAGATCTTATGTGTTTATCATGTAGATCTTATGTGTTTATCATGTAGATCTTTTGTATTTATCATGTAATCCTGTGTGTTTATCATGTAGATTTTATGTGTTTATCATGTTGATTGTATGTGTTTATCATGTAGATTTTATGTGTTTTTCATGTAGATTTTATTATGTATTTTTGTATTGTAGATTTCTGCGCAGTAGAACCATGTTTAAATGGAGGACAATGTTATAACGAACCTAATAACTATCTGTGTACCTGTACTGGTGGTTATACTGGAAATAATTGTCAATTTGGAAGTAAGCTATTTTATATCACACTGCTCCCGGGTTGTATTTTCATAACGTACCAACGATTTACATCGCACTGACTCCAAAGATTTAAATCTTGTACATTCATAACCGATTGCAATGCCAGGTTTCCAACCTTTGGTCTTGTTCTACCCCTTTTCCAATTTTACACACCCATGATATCCTCTCCACGAGTGTTCTCAGATACCCAATATGGTGTCTGATGGCAACCCCGTGAGATGAGGGTGGAAAAGTGTCTATGGATTCTTTGACATTTTGCAATGCCTTTAACTTAATACCTTGTAATCCTTTTCATATATTTTTTAGATTCATGTGCTAGCAACCCATGTGGTTCAAGAGGACTATGTTCTGAAAGCGGTAGTTCCTATTATTGTGCCTGTGATATTGGTTACTATGGTACTAACTGTGAAAACTCAGTCCCTACTGGTGAGTTATCTTTCCTTTGTTAATTAGCAATGAGTTATCTTTCCTTACCTGACTGTCATCGTGTCTTGATAATCCAATGAGGCGTAGGTTGCTTGAACACCTTCGGATATTAAACCTAGTTTCTTCCTTCCATTTTTCTTTTTTATCTGTTCTTGTTTCACTGTCAGACAGTTATACGCCCTTATCAAACTATTATAGAACAGTCCCCAGCATTCCTAGTTTCATGGGTATTGCGTTGTTCCACCGACAGCAAGTTAAAAGGAAATATAAGCCGTCATCTGTCCTTATTTCACTGCTAGACGGTTACCTTTAAAATTAGGCAGATATATCTATATACAAATGTTTACCAGCCCCCAAACATTCAGTTTTGTATTTCCCTTCCCAATCGATAGCATTATGTTCTGTTACAGACTCATGTGCAAGCAACCCATGTGGATCAAGAGGAACATGTTCTGTAGCTGGAAGTTCCTATTCATGTACCTGTTTTAATGGTTACTATGGTACTAACTGTGAAAACTCAGTCCCTACTAGTGAGTTATCTTTCTTTCCTTTATTTATTGGCAAGGAGTTATCTTTCATTTGTTTATTGGGGTTATCTGCCCTTGCGTCGTTTACACATTTCCTCGGTGGTTAAAGTGGTTGTGTAAGTTGCTCGAATACCTTCGGGTATTTATCTTTCCTTGGTTTATTGACTGGCAGTTATCTTCCTTGCCTCTTGATGGGTAATGCGCATACTTATCAGACACGGAATAATGTTTGCTGTTATGGTACTTTCTATCCATTCCAAAGAATGTAAATAATGGTACATTTCAATTAACCAGCACATCTTTACTGTGATGTTTAGTTTTCTAAATGACAGCTGTTGAATAAGGACATATTGGTTTATGTCTTGCAAGTTTCAATATATATCCTAGTAAATACTATACTGTTTTTGTGCTAACAGAGAACGTTTTGAATTGTTGGTTGTTGGATCCTTGTAAATGTTATATAGAGAAATCACTCAAAACTGCATCCTCTATGAATCAATATCCCATCTAAACCATCAATATCCGACCAAATCACTATATAATCTGTAAAGGGAAACCCTTAATAAATCGACACCCCCTCTAATGTGGTTAATGTACTGTAATTGTAGATCCATGTTTGAGTGATCCATGTAAGAATGGTGGAGGATGTCAGGTCCAAGGGTCAACCTATACATGTAGTTGTCCAGCAGGTTATATTGGTACCAACTGTGAATTCAGAAGTAAGTCGAACCTGCATTGGACACCTTGACAATGTTAAGCTATTACAAACTGCGGGTTATACATTGACAGCAGTAGCTACCTTTCTTGTTTCACGGAAGTTTATAAATGGTGTGTATATATTGGATTGTACATTGGCTCTGACATTCGCTCTGTATTCATTCGTGTATACAATCCAAAGAAAATGGTGACTATTGTACAATCCAAAGAAAAGGGTGACTATTGCAGTCAAGGTATGCGAAAAGTTCGTAATATCTTGACATTATGAAGATGACATTGGGCAGAACAAACTTTTACATAAAATCGTAATGTTAGAACTTTTCCATATAAACATTGTGTTCTTGTTTTGTCAGAAATATCCAACTTTTGTTTTGATATAGGATGGATCCGCCTCAGATACGCCAAATTCTTTTATTTATTGAATCACTAGCCTGTGAGGTCGAATTGCTTGCTGTTTGCATGTTCCCTATTTGTAAAAATTACCTAATGGGATGGGATTTGATGAAAAAAAAACATATTGAATAGTACCACGAATATCCCCCAAAATACTTTAAATTATATCTGTAATTATTCAGAGTTATTTCCCTTGCAATGCGTCAAATTTGGTAAATAAAATCTAGATGTGGATGCACAATAGGCAAAGGTATAAATAAATATTGTCGACAATGATGTTTAGCTGTTTTGATCATTCTGAAAGGAATATTCTGATCCAGATATGCTTTTTTCGATTATAGACCTCAACAAAGCCATCCATGACCTTAATTGAACAAAACGTGATTTTTTAGTGTATCGAAGATCATTTGACGGGTCAGTCACGCAATTCTGCTTTATAAATCAATCTGATTCCTGTATCTTTAAAGTCTGTATCTTTGTATTAATTATTTACGAAACGGAACCAGATCCTCATCAATATCATTGATCAAAATTATTTTTCAGATTCTGCATGTGACAACAGTCCCTGTGGTATTGGAGGTCAGTGCTCCACTATAGGATCATCCTACCAATGTAAGTGCTATACAGGATATACTGGTACCAACTGTGAGGTACGATTTGGTAAGTAACAAATACTTTGCAATATTGTCTATATGGACTCTGTGAGGTTCTCTGGCACTGTCGGTAAAAGCGTTGGTTCTTTACATGACGTCATTTGATTGGTTATGTCGAGAAAATGGCGGGTGTGGGTTCTTATGCCGATCGGCGTGAGGAAGTTCGATGAACTTGAATAAGTCATCTTCACTCATAATTCCAGTCAACCCAGCTGTAAATGGGTACGGAAAATCTGGGAAAGATTAATACCAAGAGATTTGGCCAAGGACCAGCTGGTGGAAAGAATCCTTAACTGTCAAATTACTAATTTTCTCTGAGCTCAAATACAATAGTTCTTTGACTTGGATTCAAAGGCTAGCGTGTTCTCGATGGTTTCATATCTGCTTATTGCTTTTGCGTGACAATCTGCTGGCAAGTTGAAAACGCTGGTCTACATAAATGGTTGCTCTTCGGTATCGTGTCACAATCTAGTTCGTTTGAGACAGAAACACTATACCTGACTGTAAGCTTATTATGACATTCTCTAAATTACAGACGCTTGTTCTTTAAACCCCTGTGTAAATGGTGCATGCCAAGTATCTGGAAATTCGTACGTTTGTAACTGTAACACCGGTTATACTGGAACTAACTGTGACAGCACTGGTGAGATACTTATTCTTTCTAACACTTTCAATACTCGCTTCTTTCTGTGCACATAAATATGAGGATCACTTAGAGGCTTTAAGAGGATTCTATAGAAGGCCGTGTACCACTTGTATGGAGGAGGTACTTAAGGTTTCTATTAGTATCACATACAGATCGTCTGTCATTCAAAACACATAGGCAGAAATGCAGATAGTCTCTAGAAGCTAAACATTAGGATTTCGCACAAGTCTTTTAGGTTTTCTGTTCGCACTAGGTCTGTAAATTTCCATGCACCCATCTGACCTTCGCTTTGTCATTCCTAGTCAGATATGAACATTTATACTAATATTAATAACACCAAAAGGTAATGGTTACTTTTATCTAAAGGATATTGTCACTATGGACCAGTTTCAGTTGCCGAAATAATTCCAGAATCCAGTTGTACACAGGTTTATCAATTTTGCTTTACATTGTAAAATTAGTCTGTGTTTCCATTTAGATCAATAGAGGGAGTAGTCATTGTTTTATGAAATTCAATTACTTATAACTTAAAAACGATAGTCTGGTTTTCCAAATTTGACCATCTTAATGTTTAGTTTTAACTCTGGCTTTAAACTTGCATAGGTGTTTAAAATTATATCTAATAAACCGGCACATACTCCCACTTTGAAGCACCCTTTGATTCTTATCATGCACCAACTAACTAACAGTTTATGACTCTAGATAACTGCAATCCCAATCCCTGTGGTCTACACGGCTCCTGCACGAACACTGGTCCTAGCTTCTTTTGCAACTGTGACGACGGATATCTCGGATACAGATGCGACTTCCGTAAGTAATGAGTTAATTGTAGGGACAATTGTTTGGAGAAGATAACCGAGATCTATCATGTGTGTAACTGTATCTAAAACGGCAACGATTAGTGTTTGTTGGTGCCGATATGATTTTCAAAAGTGAATTTTTTTTCTTTGAATGTGATAAAGAATTGCATTGAACCGACGTTACTTACTCACTCGGCTCCTACGCAGCTGCTATATTTAGTTCCATTTCCAACTGAATGAATGGTACTTTTGATCTCATGTGATTATTGTGACCATGCTGGATAGGTTGCTTATGCAGCTTTTGTGGATTTTATCGTCTTAAAATGGAGATTGTGATCATTGATCATCATCTTTCATTTGCTAGAGTATCTTATGCTGCCGACGCAGGGTTTGGATAAACAATCCTTATCAGGACAGCTTTATGGAATTGTTTTTTCTTCTGTCCAAATTGCAATTTAGTCGTTAACTTCGGTTTTAAACATATGATCAAAAGTAAAAGCTTGAAAAGATATCGATTGACAAACCACAATACAGTAAATATTATAAGTTTGGTTGATTTTGCAGGTGATTTCTGTGCCAGTGGACCGTGTCTGAAGGGAGGTCAGTGTACCAATACTAACAATGGATACCGATGTGACTGTCCCGATGGTACGATAGGGGAGAATTGTGAATTCAGTAAGTATACAGATCATTATTTCTCTCAAGGTTTATACACCTTTCACTAAATATTTTGCGATCAATTTTGTTATTAGTATGGTGAATTTCCACACTTACGACAAATTTTTATCGTAAGATATTTTTGTGAAACGGTGCTCATACATATCGCAAGGCTATAAACCAGTAGAACAATTAACCGGCAGTTGGATCAGTCTAATAATTGAGACGCTGATTAAGAAATATTAATTTACTGATTCTCTGCTCTCGTGGACTAAAAGAGACAATTTTATACAGTCAGGTATATTCAAGAAAAGCTAAGAAAAATTTCATCCTGCAGTACATGGGGCCTCGGTTTATAGTACATGGAGGCGACCTCTGAAAACCTGTTTTACAGACGGATCGGTTGGAAGTCATGTATCCCACCCCCACCATTCACACTGGTCCATAGGAACTGTTTGAACTACATCCACGGGACTCCACCCCTAATATGTACCAAGTTATATAATAGATATTTAAAAGGAAAGTCTTTGAATCTTCCATTAACGGCCATTTAATTCATTTACAAAGGGGTCTCTAAACGCAGTACAGCATTGTGTTAAAAAAAACTCCCTGGGAAGGGGCTTCAACACACTCATGTCCACGGGCTCATCTTGTTGAGCCATTGTGATTCACAACCAATCTGTATTTATCTTATTCCAGCCAACTACTGCGCCAGCAACCCCTGTATTAATGGAACCTGCTACAACGAAAAGGATACATACAGATGTGTTTGCCCTGATGGTTTCGCTAACAACCCATGTCAAGGTAAATAGATTAGCATCATCATCGTCATGATGATCATCATTATCGTCGTCGTCGTCTTCGTCACTCCTGAATATAGTTTTTGTCGTCGCCATAATCGTTATATTATAACATATTATATATCATTATCATTATCGCAAACTGCAATCAGTGGCGTAGCCAAAGGGGGACAGAGGGGTTACATCCCCCCTCCCCCAGATATTTTGCTGCCCCCTCGGACGTAAACCTGGCTCCTCCACTGATTGCAATGTACAATGTAAGGCCGAAGACAGAGGGGAAAACTTGTATTCATTTAATTCTGTTCCATCATCTTTCAGATTGTAATGAGTTATGGGAGTGTCCAACACGTGAAGTAGCTTACGTTATACCAGACAGTTTGGACAATACCAAATATATCATCTGTAACAAGGGAAGCAAGATGCGCATGAATTGTTCTGCTGGACAAACTTACCATCCCTTTATCTTACAGTGTCGATAGACTCGCTTTACCAGACCACATTCTCGACCAAATACCAAATATTTTATTTCAGAACAATAATCTTGCTTTTCCAGATCAATATCCTCCGACGTAAAACATGTTTTGTTTTTTGATTAAACCCAATAAATTGTTCCAATGTTTGTTTTCTTATATCTTACTATGTATGAATTATCTATTCGTTAACTGATTTCCTTTCTAACTGTAGTCAATATAAAAAAAGTACTAACGAATCGAACGGCAAAACGAAACCCAGAAATCCAAAACAATACTTTGGCAATACATTTGTAGTAGCTAATGCAATTTTCAAATAAGAAATATCAAAGGTGCCACACCCACCATTACTGGTCAATATACTCCTTTAAAAAACAAAGCCGTTCCACGAATATTGAATGACAGGCATCAGAAACGTCGGAAATGGAATCAGGATTATTAAAACGCATCTCTTTTTTCAAATTCAAAGATACAATGCTGCTGAAATATCTCATTTGAACAAATTCGACTCCGGGACACAATTTAATCAATTTCGACGCTGTTGTCGTAGAAACATTTCATAATTTTAAAAAAACTTGGCAGTCTATATTAAATAAAAAATAACGAAATATCTGAATTTAAAATTGATATTTTGATATTGGATTTATCGAGATCAACTCAGAGATCAGTTTGAAAAATGTCGATCATTTTTGTTACCTGTAAGATCAAAGGCAACCACCGACAGGTAAACATAGTCGTTCAGTTATTTGAAAATACTGGTCTGTGCCAAATATTGAAGTCCCCAGTCATAGTTATTACTCAGTTTATCAGTCCTCGTTATACTAGAATAATATTGAAGGATTTACAGGATATAAGATCTAACAACAGCTGATAATCTTTAAGTGAATGGATCAGCTTGTTAGACACCTGCTCGATAACTCACAGGTATGATTCGATCACGACGGTTGTTCCAGATGATACCTTTCGATTTTTGAATAGTTTTCCAATGTTAGGTTGTTCGGATTGGACAATAAATAAAGACTAGGCTTATTCCCATCTGTCGCGACCTAGACTAGTGCTTCTGAACAAGGGAGGAATTCCTTTAAAGAGGGAAATGGGGAGAAATCGTCGGACCGGGGGGGGGGGGAATTTTCAAGTGAGTTGCGCTTCAAAATGACTAATTTTTTTTAGGGGATGGGGGATGGGGATTAGATTTGGAAAAACTCTTTCAGGGAGAAATGATCTTACTAAGATTGAGAATCACTGGCAAAACTGCTTCGATATCAGTCGAAATAATTATAGGAATGGTAATATTCCATTAATAAGTGCCTTGATGACGAGAATATAGTTCTTGTGTATCAGGAGAAACATATCATCTGACTCGAACAACCTTGGTAAATCAAAATGGTCGTTACAACCTATAGACTGTTTCGATATTAGTAATTTATACATTAAATAAAGGAAGGGTTTTTATATAAAGAAAGTAGTCTAATAGAATACAATGTCAATAATTGTTTTATATTTAAACATTTATATTGTGAGGATATTGACATATATTGAATATTACTACAAAACATTTTATCAATGCGTAATTTTCATTCTGCCGAATAGAATATATCTAACTTGGCGAAGGTCTTTGTATCTGAAACGTGTATCGGTATCATGAGATAAGTTCCCAATTCCGAAACTAGCTGTAGAGGACGGATTTTGTATTGATAGAAGTGTAAGAAAAATAGGAGTCTCTATTCCCGAAACTATAGCTGTCCTGGAAGGTGTTTGTATCTAAAACAAAAAGTGTCGGCATCATGAGATTAGTCTCCAATTCCAAAACTATAGCTGATCATGTAACCCAGAAACATGTCAGTTGCACGTGATGAGTTCTATGCATTTTGATGGTTTTCTAGAATACTCAGTCTAATTAAAATTAGACCAAACTTTCGTTCCGTTTTTTATTAACGTTTTAAAGTTTGGGTAGAAAGATTGTTCCAGTTTGATGATACCGCCAGCCAATCAATGTGTATTCTGAGAATCATTAGACACTGAATGCACCTTTTGTTCTCGTCACAAACTCCCAGCGATGGAGAGGGTAGAAATTGGCAAATGTTGAAGACTCTAACTGAAGTGGCTAAATTAAAAATAAAAGTAAATATAAAACGGGACGAAAGTTAGGTCTAATTTTAATTAGACTGCTATAATACTGTATAATATACTCTTTGCTGACTTTGCAATCCAATTACGAATTGACAAGGCAATTTTCGTGAAGGTGTGCTGATATCGGTGATTTTCAACCATGTGTCTCGAAATGGTATTTTGCTTACAAAAAGATGTCCCCAGATGTTGAAAATGAAACTTTTGGGAGGATAAAATGTTGCAAATGAATTTCCACGTACTCCCCATGTCCGTGTGGTTCAAAACTACGACGAATTCAATGAAAAGTAATTCGGGCAACATGATATACAATATCGTTATTATAAATTTCTTTATCAAAATGTAAGAGGTCACCTCAAACACAACTGCAGCAAGTTTCTTCTGGTCTATTTTTTTTTATCTAATTATAAAAAATTTGATGTCGAATTTAGAAATCAATAAGTGATAGGAGTATCTTAAACTGACGCAGCGAATATCTAGACGACTACATTCCACCTTGTATTAGTTCACACAGACAACAGTAAGCTTTTGAGTCTGAGTACAGCCATCCAATCTATTTCACCTTGTGTTGTCCAATCGTTTTATTTCTGTAATCAGCCGCAGTGATCTATATGATCAAAGATGTTTGTGGACGCATCGTCTCAAGTTCTGTCCATCTAGATCAATATTAGGGTTGATGTCGAGCCAAGGTATATAATACTGTCAGGGTGGTTCATTTCTGGTGGATGTTTGATCATATTTATAGACCAACCTTAACTGGTAACATTAATAGATTATCATAGCAAAGGGCACATTATGCCCTCACGAGGGTGTGTATAAGGCTGGTCTGCCCCCCCCCCCCCCTCTCCCTCACTTTCATATTACAAGGACCCCTTGAAAATCCTGAGACCCCTACTCGCACCCCTACCCCAACTCCCGCTTAATGATTCATAAAAAAAACCTCTGGTCATAAGAATTCAACAAAATAAAAGTAGAATGACACTGGCGAAGATGGAAAATACCAATTAGAGAGAGGCGTTAGTACATCCTTGATCTAATGTTTATGAGGACCAAAAAAACAATAATAATGATTATGATCATGATTTCAAACAACGGTTTCATTTTCATTTGACACAAATTTTCAGTAATAATTTTCTCGGATATCGTGGAAAACCTCAACATTGTAGTAAAAGAAAGATAAAAAAAAAAACACAATTGGAAAGTTCCAATGGTAAACTTATACCAAAACCTAAATCTTATTCAATATTCAAAATCAGATGAAACTGACAAATTTGAGAGAAACAACAACATTAAATATACGCGGAAGGTTAGTTGAAAAGATAAAAATCAAAAAGTTCGTTTGTGGTCAGGGTGCATGTGCACCGATGTACACAGAACACAGAGTTAAGTTTTCTATCAGTCACACATACACATGTAGTATTTCATTTTAACGCAAAGAGTTGCAATTACATGAAAAGCAAAAAGCTTTGGGAAACCGAGATTGCCAAGTGCTGCAATGAAAATCCTTCCGAATATGTAGTCAAAACGTAGATTTAAACCAGCTGAATCAGATATAAAAATACTCACCTAAAAACCATGAATTTAAAACAAATCTAAATAAATATTTTATCGAAATTTCTGA